CACAGATAAGATAAACAACGGAATATTACGAAAACCTGAAAAACAAAAATATGATTAGTACAGATATAGATGATAATTAATAAGAATAGCAATCCACTCTCACACTCAAACGAACCCAAAAAAAAATCTAATTTTCACTTTGTCTTTAGAAAAAAAATAAATGTCAATGAGTCAGATATTGTCTATATTTATAGTTTCTGAACCGCTTTTACTTCCATCTAAACTGTTTATTAAACTTTAAAGTTGTTATTTTGACACAGGTCACCAAATATTAACCACCACACAGTCACAAAGATGTTCAATGTCAAATTCTTCTGTCAAATTCTTCACTTCGACACTTGTAGGCTACTTCAGTTCAACTTGAAAATTTAAAATATTGTCTCAATTCCACTTTATCTAACCAATCAATATTTTTAAAGTTTACATTCGATGATACACAGAGTCTGGCTATTGTCATTAACTGCACTGAGTCTTAGATCAGTTAAAATCACCAAAATCCATACTCTAGTATAACCATTTTCACTTCTAAGAAACTAGATAAGCCCATTCAAAATCATACAAAAATTCACAAGGCATAAAAAATCGTCAATAGTAGATCTGTTTAGGCATCTCCACCATGTTTTGTTGGGGTTTCCATCCTAGATGGATTTGGATTGTTCTTATAATCAAAACTAGAATCTAAGTTTCAGCCATGCTTTATTCAATCTCTAAGCTCTTACATCATGCCTTCAACTCACAAAAGTACATATCCTGTCACATGACAAACATCTACCTTAAGAGCAGACAACTCTGTTTTACTGAGAAGGAAAATATGGGAGATAACTCTTACTTAACAATGATTTTTAAGACCACAATATGAACTAATGATATCAATATGACATGATATATCATTTGAAAATTAAACTTATGTTGGTATACATGTGGTGATTCTGGAAAACTGTTACAATGAAGTATAAAGGGATGTTGATATCATTTCAAGGTTGTATTTTGAACTGATGTTGTCATAATATCAGTAATATATGTATGTGGGAATGGTATGGTTATAATGTCCCTGAAATGATGACAGTTGAATTGCAAATGAATTTGGCATAAAAGTGATATGGCTAGCTGAAGATGAGCTTTATCAGCTGGTAAAATTAAAATGATTATATCCCTTCTAAAAATTAAGTACAGAAGCTTGGTTGATTCATACTCTTTATGATATTTTTTTATTGTAGATAATGGGACATATGGATGTGATCTCTATAATATCAGATGGTTTTAATATTTATTTCCCTATATTGATAGTATTATTATGTATATGTACCTACTTTAGTCTGGGTAGTCGATGTTTGAGTTTTCTTGGATTTCAACAATTTATTGGAGATGATGAGATGACACAAGAATTAATGGATGAAGGAAGGGAACTTGTTAAAAGAGGTATCAGTATTTGTGTTTTTCAGTATAGCCTGCCTTATAAATAGTGGTGAACCCAATCTTGACAAAAAGGTTCAGGGCACAAATGTTTTTACTTATTGCCAGCAAAAGTATCAGAAATCTGATAAAAAATGTTTTAATCTGTTTTTAAAGCTTTATCGTCTAAAAACATTGACAAATTCAGAAAACACAAGACATGTAGGTTTTATTTTGGATAAGAAATTAGTAAGTTATTAGTGATCTATAGCTTAAAAAAAAAAACCATATTTGACACACTTTTTGCTCTTTGAATTTTATCAAGCAATATTTCCATTCATGAGAGTTTTTTTTACTTGAACCTGAAGATATTCTCATTATGTTAATTTGTTTACAGAACGTAGAAGATTAGATCGTAAAGCTGATAGTGATGCTCGCAGAAAAACTTGGAATGAGAAATTTACACATAGAGATAGTTCATCTAGATTTAAAGATATACCTAGTGGAACCACAGAATCACGTCGTAAGTTCAATTTTTTTCATATGATCAGTCTTTTTAGGCACTCAATAAGGATAAGTCATTATGTTATCATAGCCAACACTGATTGATCTCATTGTATTCCATAAGTTAATTGTCGTCAAAATTTCCATTTTGAAAGACTTGAATGACAATTGCTAACCTATAGTTGATGTCAGACAGAGGTTTGTTTCTCTCAGATATTTGAGATGCCCTGTCAATCACGTCCAGGTAATAGAGTCATATCAACAGCCCTGGTCTGTTAGGTTATTAAAAAGATATATAAGTCATAGCTTTATACAATCATGTTTGATTGTAGGTATGTACACAGTTCCTAGAAGTCCTGATGACAATGACAGAACAGAGTTATTACGCCAAGCTGAACCAATAGATTATACAGATAATGATACTATACAAGATACCAGTTACCAACAGTCCAATGCCACTACCAGATATAACAGATCTCAACCACCCAGATCAACACCACCACGTGGAATCTTTGATGATGTATGAATAAAACTTCCTTAGTAACCAGATCAACAATACCAAGTGGTATCTTTGATGATGTATGAATATAACTTCCTTAGTAACCAGATCAACAATACCAAGTGGTATCTTTGATGATGTATAAATAAAACTTCCTCAGTGACCAGATCAACAATACCATGTGGTATCTTGATGATGTATGAATATAACTTCCTTAGTTACCAGATCAACACCATCACATGGCATCTTTGATGAAGTATAGATGTAACTTCCCTAGTTACCACAATACCCCATGGTATCTTTGATGATGTATAAATAAAACTTCCTTAGTAACCAAATCAACAATACCATGTGGTATCTTAGAACCAAATTTGACATTACCAGGATAGCTAGTGAAAGTATAAATGAACCGAGATTAGTATAATGCAATATGTTTATAAACATGTACAAAGTACATTTGAGGAATTTGTAATATGACAGTAGTGTAATATGAATGAGACTCATTCAATGAGTTATAGTATAAATGTAATTTGGATAGCATAATTTTTTTTATTAAACCTAACTGTAAATCGTACTAATATTTTGTAATGGTATCAATTACTGCTTGTAGAATAGTTTATTATTACTCATTGTGGTATATTTATAAAGCAGGGTTAATACAAATAGATATTAAGAGGGTAACTAAATATTTGTGTATAGATCTGATTTAACACTACAAGCTATCTGTAACACTTTTCAGAGCCAAAATCTTCTATAAAAAAAACGAAAATAAAATCAAGAAAATATCAAAGACTGTACCACTTTAAAAAAGTGAGAGCCATTTAGTCAAAAAAAAATTCTGTATATAGCTGTAAAAAAAATTGACTAGTATATGTTGATTTCTAAGTGTTGTGATAAATTGAAATATGACAGGCAGTCAAAATCTCACCTCTGTTATGTTATCTTTGAAATAATTGTGTATTCTGGTAGAAATTAATTTCCCTGAATTGTTTCAAGACATGTTGTGATTTACACATTCCATTTTACTTTTGAAAATTTGATATTAACATATATACTGACAGTCAAGTTGCTGTCATTGTATTATTTTGCTTTTGAAAGTCATTTTAGTTTCATTCATGGCTTGAATATGAAGTCATAGAAATATGTGCATTTAGCTTTAGTTTCTAGGTATATCACAGAACTACAGGGTCATATTGTTATTAATGATTTAACTACATTGCTTTAGGAGAGTCATGGGAGAACTATATAGTTCTAGGTTAAATTACACTATTTTAGGAAGATCATGGTTGAACTGCACTGCTTTAGTATGTTCAGGTAGAAGAGAGAGAGAGAGAGTTATATTGAAGTACACTGTTTTAGGAAGGTCATGGTGAAAGCACACTTTACTTACACTGCTGTACAAAACTCATGGTTGAATTACACTACTCTTTGAGTGTAATGGTTGTTTTAAACTGTTTCAGAAAGGTCGGGTAGGGTTACACGGCTCTTTGAGTCATATTACACTATACTGTTCTAGGAATTTCAGGGTCATGGTTTAACTATTCTGTTTTAGGAAAGTTAAGGTTGCACTTCACTGCCCTAAAAGATTCCTGGGTTCTAGGAAGGTCAGGGTTATGGTAGAACCAGACTGTTCTAGGAAGGTCAGAGTCATGGTAATAGGAAGATCATGAAGGTCAGGGTAGAACTACACTGTTTTAGGAAGGTCAAGGTTGCACTACACTGTTCTAGGAAGGTCAGGGTTTTGGCTTAACCACATTTGTTACAAAATTGTATTTGACATAGTAAGAAGATACTTAACATGACAAATTTAAACTAGCATTTAATATTTATTGTAGAAATCCCTTGTATTTACTATATGTAGCTTGTATTCTTATTTATTCTTGTTATTTATTTCTTCATGTTGCATTAAATATATTTACATCGAAAAGTTTCATTATGTCTCTAAAAATATTTTATTCTGGATTATAGGAACAAGTATGGCTGTTCAGAATATATGTGGGTTTTACTAGATGCTGCATCTTCAGAGATGTAAGAAGCTCTCATATTGTGACTTCCATCTTCATTAACCCATTAGGTGCAACATAGGACGTAAAACTCCATTCATTTACATATTGTAACTTTTGACATAAAGAAATAAATAATTAGGTGTGGCTAACATGTATTTCTTTCAAAGTCAAACATGAACAAATGGTTAGGGATGTTCACATGTATGACATAAAAAGAGGCCAGAAACTTTACAGGATGTTTATTAAAATTATACTTAAAGCATTTGATGGTAGTCAAAACTTTTCAGAAACAAAACAGGAATATCAATTTCATAAAAATCTAATCTCAATAACATTATTCAGTTCCTTTCAACCACTCAAATTTCCCAGTCAGTTAAAGCTTTGTTTACCAGTTTTGAGATATTCTGGGATATGTGTACACAATGTAACTACTAATGTTTAGTATGGCCTTCACAGATTTATATTCAAAGTACCTCACAAAATAATAACATACTACAATTGTAAAGCATAACTGAATCCGATTATGACTTCTATCAAGTCTTTGGTATGTGATTGATCATTTTTGACCTAAATAAATTTCAGCAACCAAGGACATTGTTCATTTGAAATTAACAAGGAAACAAACTACTTCTAAATTTGGTCATCTCCATCTTCATCAATGGTTTCAAAGGAAATAGCTGTTAATTAAACATTGTTCTTTTGATGTTGAGATTCAACAAATACACTTGCATCTCTTTTCTTTCAGCTCTTGTTGTTTTTCATCATTAAAATTAGTATCAGTAGATGATCACACAAATTATGTTAAATCAAACAATATAAGAAAGGATAGAGTTAATTTAACAATACAACACCGGTTTGTAGGTTCAGCATTAATAATAATTCACACATAAAGCAGTTTCCAACTTTGTGAAATGTTCCGTTAACTGTTCTTACTACCTTTTTCTTCAAGTTGTTGGATGTATATCATCCATATCTTATGACATATTACATCTACAAGATATTGGGAACACTTTGGTAAAAACAAAAGAGAATCATGAAAGCTTTTCGTAGTACAAGATCTGCTTTTACATGCTCTATATGTTATATCTATGGCAAAGCACTAGGTATCAGATGTAGCAGATAACTGTTCCTTAAGAAGGATTGCCGTTGATATCTGGTATAGAATTAGATGTAGATAATAAATGTTGATGATTTTCGATCTTCTCTAAATCATATAATACTTCTAAAAGACACCCAATACTCCAGGCTTGACCTCGACAACTATCTCTACAGTACTGTAATAATAATGAAGACATAATCAATCAATGGCAGTCTTGGTGGTTTGCTAACCTAGGAGTCTCAGCATATGTCAAGATGATACCTTTTTCTACCCAGTTTCTCAAGGGTTCATGTTAGAAAGATTAGATGGAGAAAGCATGTTGTTGTTGCTTCAGAATGTGCAAAGACGAGTAGGACATTGTCCTGGCAAATTTTCCTTAATGCGCACTGCTTTTTTCATATTGTCCTTTTATAGCAAAGTAGTACAGAAAAAAACAATTGTATCAAGTGTTTAAGCAAAGTGCATAGTGCTATATCCACTTAAATCAAGAAGTACAAAAATGCCTGTATATCCTGAAGTTTTAGAATAAAATCATTTTATAACTTACCGAACCATTAGAATTAGTTAGTTCTGGTAATGATTGCCATGGAGATCTCATTAATTCTAAATAATGATTGGCTAATCTAGATTCTATAAATCCTATTGTTTCTTTCAATATACCATCTTGTTCTTTATTTAATTTGGCAGCAAAATATAGTTTAGCTCTAAGAAAATAACCAGTAGGCCATAACCATTCCTGATAAAAAGAGAATAATATTCACTTTTCATACATTTCTCCATTTTAAACTTTATCTACACCTACTTTTTTCTGCAAATGTGGAATGCATTTTAAACGGTGTTTCTGAACAGTGTTTAAACTAGTTTTATTGAAGTCCCAGTTGCTTCCATGAATCCTGAAAGAACAGATCTTATCAATCAAGCATTAGTGCAATGTGAAGCTGATTTCGTTGGTATCTAATATATAGTAAGATTAATATAACTTACTGGTCCTTGATGATAGTTAAAACCACCAGCTACACGACCACAATCAGAATCATTAGCATTATCATAGTCTCCTTTATACGCCCAATCACTATAATATATCATTATAAATATTCTAGCTTGCTTTATATCTTTTTGATTAACTTGACCTTGTTGTACTAAAAATGCTAGAGTCGACTACAAAAAGCGAGTGCTTTCATAATAAGAATAATAACTCTTCTTTACAAAATCTAGAAGGCAATGGTTCTGAGATGAAGTAATCATTGTATAAGAAAACTAAAATACATACCTTGGATCCAATGTTTTCATTCCTAAAGGACCCAGTAATACTTCTTGAACTGTATTTAAAGCTATCCATGCTCTTGATGGAGTAAATAGTTCGGGGGCCTTAAATATGGAGAGAAAAAAACAGTGATGCCAGTTTGGAAAAAGCGTTTTGTTGTTGGGATGGAACAATAAAACAAGGTTAAGTTTGCTACACTTCTGGACACTTACAACAAATAGATGAAACATGAAATATTTTGAGATCTTAGTGATGATTTCAAAATGCTTCTAATGGAAAACTAATGGAAGAATAAACTACTTACCACCACCATAGCTACAGGAAAGTTGGGTCGTAGTTGATAGTCTGCCCAGAATTGTGTAGCAAGGTAAGAATCTTTATAGATACCACGTCTGTTTATTAATTCTGGTTTTGGTTCGTTGTCTGGATCAGGTGTATCATTAACCCAAAAATATTTCTCAAAATTACTCTTAATCTTTTCAGCCCATTCATGGTATGTAATCTTTACTTCTTTCCCTGGAAAATGAAGTAGGGATAAGTACACAAGGCCTAAGAAAATTGACAATGCCATGCAAGTTTTGCAAGGGCAGTGCCTGCTCTTATAATTATGCTTGTCGATTACATGTATTTCTTTCCTATGAACCTTTTCAAAGGTTAACAAAAGTTGTTTGCCAAGTCAGACAGCAAGCCCTTAAGTCTATGGGATGGACGTGTTTCATTCCTACCTTTTATAACAGCAGTAACTCCATCATGAGGATATAAATTTTTACAATTATAACTTTCTAACCATCTTACAGTAGACATTGATAATCCAATAATTTCAACTGCTGAACCATCTCTGTAATAACAGACTATACTCTAGTCTTTCCTCGAAAATAAATTCAACACCACTTTATATTTGGTCCATTTAATGATTGATGAATGGCATGAAAATATTTGCCTTTGTGCTCCAGACAAGGCTCTCAAAGATAGGCCATGCCATGCAGTGTGCAATGAGGGAAAATTTACTTTGAAACACTTTCACCATGCACAGTATGTAGCATCCAAAGTCTCAGTGTATTGTTCCATCCAAATATCATTGTTTTTTCAATGTGAGGCTCTGACCTAAACCACTGGAGAAACAGGGTCACAAAGGCTTATGTCAGGATAGAATCTAGATGCCCTAGGTTACAGAGCTAGCAATTAACTGATTGAGCCCACCAAGCTCCTTACTTCTATATAACATAACAATATATATAGAAATACCTTGGTGTAGCAGGTTTACCCTTATTACCAGCTTTACTAGAACTACCCATTTTATCCATCCATGTTCCACAATTATATTCATTACCACCATATACAAACCCAGTATTCCAATCTACACCATATTCTACATCAAAACCTGCAATACATGGTACATATTTCACAAACTACATTTTTATATCAGAAGTAGCGTTAAAATCGCTATTAAACCCTTTCTTGAACAGATGATGGAACAAGGATCACTGGACTACAAGTAAGTTCATGAAAAAAAGTGTAAGCAAAAGTTGACAGCAAGAATTATTTGTGACCATAGCTTGCAGCATTTCGATGGTTGATGTTTTTTCAGAACAATTCCTCTCTGTCCAGGGGATACTGGGGTTAAGAAAAAAACTGATAACACTATCAAGGCCTTAATCTTGATTAATCCCAGACCCTACAGAGCAGTCAACAAATACTGCCACCCCTCTTCTCAGGTGATCACTGTAGTGTTTTTTCTTTAAGTTAAAGTTAAAATTATTACCTTTATCAGTCATCTGACAATCTATCTGACTGCCAGCATTACGTTCTCTATATTTATTACCTCCAGCATGTTTCTCTAAACTTTCTTGTATCACATCACTTAATTTCTGATCCTGAATTCAACAAATTATTACAGTTTATACATGAATCCCTAAACTTCAAAGAAAATAATGATCAGATGGTAGGTAGAAAATTTGGATAAAAAACTGTTACCTACCACTTCACCTGGTTTTAGAGGTTCCGAATCATCAGTAGGATACATCCTGGATACATTATCTTTTAATATATTAACACCATTAGACACATGTTTACAGTAATCTTGTATAGATTGTAACCACCACCATACAGCATCACGACAGTTATACCGAGCACCTGTCCCCTCATTTAATAGATTAGGTATTAAACCATGACGTAGTGTACCAGCATACGCTAATATTAAACTTCTGTAATAATAATATATCATTTTTATCATTATCAAGTTCATAAAGGACAATTGCATAAAGAGTGAAAAAATGTCCATTTCACTCAAGGAACTCCACCGTAAATTATGATGTTAACAAATATTTTACATTTATCTGCTGTGATGACTAGGTACATAAATTTCAACCTTCTACAAGTCTATAACTACAGTAGTATAATTGTCTCCCTTTTCCATCAGTTAAGAAAACAGTTTCAACTGATGAAAAATGTTCTGCGATCAACAGAATTATTTATCGTGAATGGGCAAACAGTAGTGACGACAGTATACCTAATTATTATAAAGTGGGCATCTAAAAATGAATATTAAGAAATTACCGTGCCTCCTCATGTCGACCTGTTAGTAAAATTAACCCTCTGATAGCTATAAATGTATCACGTCCCCAATTTCTCATGTAACCACTGGCAAAATGAGGAAATCCTGTAACATATAAATAAACACAATTTGAGGCTATTAAACACAATCCTAATAATCTCTTCATATGGAAATATTAGAGCCTGTACAATGGGAACGAAGGCTTGTTTTTTTTAATGTTTAGTGGAGATATGAGTGTTTGAATTCATTGACTTAGCCATAAATACATAAATCTTTGAATATTTTACCTGCAGCCAAAGACAGTGATGCCTCAAATTCGTCTTTAGAAGTAATATCAATTTCTGTTCTGACTTTAGGTGGTGCTAAATTAGGCGAAAGAGTTGGTAGTTTCGACGATTTTACAAACCCACAAAACTGTACTGAACCCATTGATAAAGCTTGTACAAATGTCGATCCATCTCTAACAAAACTGAAAGCAAATCAATTCTATCATAAATTTGTGACATGAAAAGCAGTCAGTACAAGGGTTTGCACAAAAATTTAGAATTACTGTTTCTTGGATATCCTAGCGCTAAGATCGTTCTAAGATTACGTGGCCAGGTGAATACTAAAGCGGTAATAACATTTTCAGTATGTTTTCAATTTAAACAAAAAAAAGAGTCCGACAACAGTGCTGACAAAGATGTCAGAATAAAAAAATATGACTCACTCTGACATTTGTTGTATTATCATTTCTCTCATAACAACATAAGCTCCAGTAACTAAAGCATCGAAATAACATGGTATCAAATATCGGGGAGCTTCTTTTAAATACGAGAAAATACCTTCAAACCACATACCAAGCTGAAATAGATGACATGTCAACCATTGTATTGTGTTTTATAGAAATAAGGTAAAAAAACATTCATTCTCAAATAAATTGTCAAGTTGAACTGTCAGCAATCATTTCACTCATTTACTGTGGTTACATTTCTTATCACACAATTACCAGAGAATCAAAATCCACCTACAAGTTTGGCTAATCTTTCATCAAAATGACATAATCACAATTTAAAAACAAGTCTAAAAATAATTTGACTGGCATCAAATATCCTCCCTGATTTAGCAAGTGAACTGTCTTAACGTGTATGGACAATCATGTTGATGTGTCAGTGTCTTCCACTCTACATACAATCTTATAAATCTAAAAATTTGTTTATCATTTAGCTATGATTGTCAACTGTTTGATTTGTACCAGTTGACAAGTCTTCAAGCTAACAACTGAGGAATCATTTTATTTTATTCTTACACAGATATAACGGTACTTACATCATGTGTGTGGGTATTCAACTTTAATCTATTGGCTACATAATCAGGTAACCAATTACCTTGACGTAGATTATCACACAGAGAATGTCCTAGATCATTATTAGGTCGGATATCAGCTAAAACTGATATAATACCTACAAAATATCAAATATTATATTTTTATATTTAACAGAATTAAGCTATAGTTAAAACAAACAGGAAAATCTCTTCAATTCTATATTTTTTTTTTTTTATTCTTATATTATACTGAATATTGACAGTATGGTTAACTATGGTTATACAACATACACTTTACACCACTGCAAAAGATTTCTATGTTTTCAATCATTGATCAACAGCTATATTGGGTCACAGAAGATTCAAACATATTTTACCTCTAAGACCACAATATACCATGGAACCATAACCAGCAAGAGAATAGGCTCCAATTCCATAACCATCATCTCTTTCTTCTGCTTCAACCCGATATAAAACACGATTTAAACTAGCCAGATCTAAATTGGAGACTATAACACGGAAATTAGATTTATCCCAAGTATCATCAAACATGGTGCTACCGCTGTACGATCTCATCAAATATCCAAACTGTCCCAGACCACGGCGAATTTGTAATATAGCTTCTTTAGCTTTAGGAGGTAGACAAGATCTGAAATAAAAATTTTCAGAGAAAAGGTTTCAAGTCTAAACAGAATCTATGTCTGGTGCATGGAAATTTTTGATTCAGGATGATACAATATAGTGTGTAACATTTTGATCCAGGTCAAAATTTAAAGTTTGGAACTTGGAACAGTGTCAGTTTTTCATCTTAGAATCCCTATAGCAGAGTCAATACAGCTAATATTGTTTGTCACATTGATATATTTAATGGTAAACCTACCTGAAAGCAATGACTGAACCAGGAGTGAGGTTTTTCCACGATATATTGACAGTACCATCTGGGTTTTTATGTACGTTACAAATCTGACTCTCCTCAGTTTTGATATTCTGACGTAGTGTCAAGAAATAATCTGGTAAACCATTGACATAATCTTTATCTTGTTTATATTCATAATGATGACTGACTCCCATACTACCTTCTAATATTATCTCCTTTATTACACCTACAAATATAAAGACAGCATGACAGGCAAAGTAATATACACCCAATGGCAGAAATTATATCAATTACAAAAATTGCAACCACCACCAGCATGAAAAATCTGAGCTTTTTCTTCATTATATTGACAGAAACCACCATAATGAAAGATGCTAACAGCCAAAATTAATCTCTATTAGCTAGTAAAGTAAATTATTTAGACAACTGTATTAATAGTTTGAAGTGAAAGAGAATAAAATCATTGCCTACCTTGTATATGTATAGATTTAATATGTTGACCAGCACAATTAGGATTAGAAGGATGACTAAAACTTGTTCTACAGACTAGAATAATAGACTCATGTGTTTGTGGATTATGTCTGGTAACAGAAACTGTATCATCAGTTAACTGATCAACATAAACCTACAATAATAATATACAAATAATTTCAAGGTTTTATTATTATATCAGAAGAGCTGAAAACCATACAGTGGTAAAAATATTGAATTATACTAAGCCTCGGTATACTTCAATAAGCTAGTTGACTTTATTTCTGTAATATTATAATAGTAGAATGTGTCCCTTGGGAGAGCAGTTCATATAGTTCATAAAAATAATCATGAAAATAGTCACCTTTACACCTACGAAATTTACACCCTCAGAGAATAATGCCTTTAATAGAAGTTAGAACTTTGAAGCATACCTGACTAAATCCTGAAAGACCCATCTCAAAATGTAGTTTATTTAGCACCCTCTTGCCTTCTGTTATACCACATGTTTTATTGATGTAGGCATTACTTGGTTTTTCACTATCACTCCATGACATATAGTGACGTTCTTCTGTTACTACATGGACCTATCAATGAGAAGGTTTCAAAGGGATAAAATCATGTAAATATTATCCTTACTAGTTGCTACAGCTTATAGTAGTTAAATATATTTCTTTATCTAAAGCAGATTCTATAATATTTTAACTAAGTCAATGCTTATAGCTTAAATATTGTCGATAGAAAGACTTGTTAATTCTCATCTATCAAAATAACCGCACCACAAGTTTTCTATGACACACAGTTATCCAAGTAATCCACCATATCAGAGGTATTTTCACCATATATTTTAAATATTGTAAATGAAAATGAAATCTTACATGATGTGGTACAAGCTGATCATAGCCTCTATTGCTACCAGTAGCACAGCACGCCATAGCTACTAATGCTGTTGTTGGCCATAAGTCATATGCTGATCTTTTCTACAAATACAATGAAATGGAGTTTTATGTCCTGCGCTAATGCTACTGACTGGGCTAACATAAACAGACAGCAGTGAACAATGAGAGAAATTATGCCAGAGAAGCACCATCTTGATCTTGATGTGCACAGCCTGTAGCTCACAAGGTATTGGTTTAATATTGAGATCGCTGCCAGAAGTTTTTGCTTGTAAATCTGTGATCTCCATTGCTGGAGAATGTCTTAACTATGAAAATGGCAACAAAATATATGAATATCCTCGCCAGATAGTTTAAATGTTATGATCAGAAGTTGTAAATGACAAGTTGAAGAACCTACCTCTACTGGTGAAGGATTATCATGTGTTTGGTCGTAAAATAAAGCATGAGCTACAGTGGGTGTTAATGGTTTAACTCTGGGTTGAACAAATGATCCAATAGGTACACCACCATATCTATGAACTAATCTACCTTCTTCGTGAGCATTCCAGGCACTTAATGCCTCTGCAACATTAATCATACATTGAATTACTCCTTAAGGAATGAATGTCTTTTGTAAAATGCTTAGTTTCAGTGGAATTGTTAGATCCACAGACGAATGCATTAAAACTGGATGAGAAATTCATTGCTATAAAAGTGTAGAAAAAACCTCTTTACAACCCCTTTAAAGCTCAAAACTTAAGATTCAGTTTTGTATTTAAATACAAAAAGGTGCTCTTCAACATACCTCTTATCAGAGAGTTAATGCCTAATCTATTCATAAAAAGATTGTCTAAAGCTTCACTACCAGTAAATAATTCAGCTATAACATAGAGATCAGGTCGAATCTTTCTAGCAGCATCTAACATATACTGTAATAAACAACATGATAACATAGAGATCAGGTCGAATCTTTCTAGCAGCATCTAACATATACTGTAATAAACAACATAATAACATAGAGATCAGGTTGAATCTTTCTGGCAACATCTAACATATACTGTAATAAACAACATAATAACATATAGGTCAGGTCGAATCTTTCTAGCAGCATCTAACATATACTGTAATAAACAACATAATAACATAGAGATCAGGTTGAATCTTTCTAGCAGCATCTAACATATACTGTAATAAACAACATGATAACATAGAGATCAGGTCGAATCTTTCTAGCATCATCTAACATATACTGTAATAAACAACATAATAACATAGAGATCAGGTTGAATCTTTCTGGCAACATCTAACATATACTGTAATAAACAACATGATAACATATAGGTCAGGTCGAATCTTTCTAGCAGCATCTAACATATACTGTAATAAACAACATAATAACATAGAGATCAGGTTGAATCTTTCTGGCAACATCTAACATATACTGTAATAAACAACTTAATAACATAGAGATCAGGTTGAATCTTTCTGGCAACATCTAACATATACTGTAATAAACAACATGATAACATAGAGATCAGGTCGAATCTTTCTAGCAGCATCTAACATATACTGTAATAAACAACATAATAACATAGAGATCAGGTTGAATCTTTCTGGCAGTATCCAACATATACTGTAATAAACAACACAATAACATAGAGATCAGGTCGAATCTTTCTAGCAGCATCTAACATATACTGTAATAAACAACACAATAACATAGAGATCAGGACGAATCTTTCTAGCAGTTTCCAACATATACTGTAATAAACAACATAATAACATAGAGATCAGGTCGAATCTTTCTGGCAACATCTAACATATATTGTAATAAACAACATAATAACATAGAGATCAGGTCGAATCTTTCTGGCAGCATGTAACATATACTGTAATAAACAACTTAATAACATAGAGATCAGGTTGAATCTTTCTGGCAACATCTAACATATACTGTAATAAACAACATAATAACATAGAGATCAGGACGAATCTTTCTAGCAGCATCTAACATATACTGTAATAAACAACATAATAACATAGAGATCAGGACGAATCTTTCTAGCAGTATCCAACATATACTGTAATAAACAACATAATAACATAGAGATCAGGTCGAATCTTTCTGGCAACATCTAACATATATTGTAATAAACAACATAATAACATAGAGATCAGGTCGAATCTTTCTGGCAGCATGTAACATATACTGTAATAAACAACTTAATAACATAGAGATCAGGTTGAATCTTTCTGGCAACATCTAACATATACTGTAATAAACAACATAATAACATAGAGATCAGGACGAATCTTTCTAGCAGCATCTAACATATACTGTAATAAACAACATAATAACATAGAGATCAGGTCGAATCTTTCTGGCAACATCTAACATATACTGTAATAAACAACTTAATAACATAGAGATCAGGTTGAATCTTTCTAGCATCATCTCACATATACTGTAATAAACAACATAATAACATAGAGATCAGGTCGAATCTTTCTGGCAGCATGTAACATATACTGTAATAAACAACTTAATAACATATACTGTAATAAACAACTTAATAAGATAGAGATCAGGTTGAATC